CAATAGTTTGTTACGAGCGACGCCCAAGTACGTATTCTTGAAGGGTGCATTAACAGTGCTGAGTGCAGAGAGTGAAGGGCCGAACGTGGGAAGTTAGTAGAAAAGGGGTAGAGGAAATGGACAATATAGTAGTGATATACCCTGACTGAAACAGGGTTTAATATATCCAACAAAAGTCGCCAAATGGCTGTAGTTTTGTCTTAGGACCAGACAGTCCAGATTAGAGGATGCGATGTTTCGAAGTCAACCTGTTTAACTTCCTCCCTGCCTCCTCTAAAGTCCCAGTCAGCCAAAACCCACAGAGTGGAAGAGTTTCATTTCAAAGAAGAGAGACCACGGTAACTTTCCGCACTGGTGAGCTGAAGCGTTGAGTAGCGACGAAAAGCAAAACCGTTCCTGCTTCCATAGACCAGGGCTCCCGTCCCTAGAGTTTAGACAAGAACGGAGGAAGCGCCGCCCAAAATCGTCAAATTCACTCGCGTGTAACGATTGTTGCGCACTAAAGTTCGGCTAGAATTATTTTCTGTAGTTCTTCTGTGAGAACTAAGTTCTACTATTTAAAACCATGCAATATTTGGTTTCGAAATATTTATGAAATGTTTGTGCATGAATGTTTAAACAGTTTGAAGAACGTCACATGACAATAGTTTTTGAGTTTTAAGATGTCCCCCTTCAAGGAAAGTACCGTCAATGGGACTCGTGCATCTCAGTTTTCGAATGGAAATTAAATGCCCGAGTGAACGATAGTCCAATCCGACTGAGAGAATCGTTTACAGTGTCATCTAGCGAAGACTGACTACATTTGACAGAGCAGGGGGTCGCCAGGTCCGAGTCCGCTTTCCACGCAAGCATTTCGTTTTCGACTGCGCAAACTTTATGTCCACAATTAGGGTACACGTGTGTAACTTAGGCAGTCATTTTGTTTGCTGATAGTCGAACACAGGCGCCAGCTGAAAGTCTAAACATGCGTAACACTGGGTTGCCGAAACGGTCTTTCGCCATTGCATATTCACACTGCATGTCAAACACTTTCGGGGACCTCATACTGAGCCCAAGGTGCCCAAGAGTCGCTTGATGCCTTATTGGATTCTGAAGAAATCAAACACAACAAAAGACGAACTTCGGAACTAATACAACATGCATCCTGTACTATAAAGCGCCTCAAAATTATGCAGAGGAGCTTGGAAGGTCATCGGAGAAGCTAGCGTTAGGGGGCAAAACCTGCGCTGATTAAGGCGCGGGAATTATACTGCCGCAGAAGAATAGAATGGGGATGCTCGGAAACGGTCGGTCTCGAAGCGCCGAATAAGGCGAAGGTATAATGATGAATAAAAAGGTAATTCGATAAAGTTATTAGGCCCGTTTTTTACGTCTTGCTACCAATGAAAGGTGGAATAAATCTGCGGGGACATAGAGGGCATTCTTACTCTGAGTGCTGTCAGTGATTAGGTCAGGTAAATAACTCGGAGGTTCGATTTCAGCGAAGGAACTCCAATCCTCTCGGAAAATACCATTTTTTGGAGACATATTCGACATAAAACTACGTTGCGAACAATTCCGTCAAAGGATTCAGAAGACTAGTCGACGAATATAGGCGTACTTTTGGTAAATTGTCATCGGGTCACTACATTTGTACGGGAACGGATTACAGGTGAAAACATGCGGTCGATTATTTTCGTCTTTTTACACCAATGAGTCATGGGAATAGGGCGGGCGTGTGTGTGTCATATGAGGTAGTTGGTTAAACGGCAGTGAGGGCTCGGCGGGACTGTTCCTGGGGCGAAGGGGTGAAATAGGGGGCGTGGAGGAACGCATGCAGTTAAGCGACCGTCAACTAGGCTGGGCACGGAGCTTGCAGAATATTCCTCTGTGCGCACAACACGGGATTCCTCAACCTGATAGTGGCAGCTCCTGCT